ATATTTACTTAAATAAATTGTTGAACTATACTTAATAGTGTGTTTGGATGAGGAAATTTACAAATTCAAGGAATTTGAAATTCTTGGTATTTGAATTACTTTGATTTCAATTTCTATCATTCTTAGAATGTTTTGTTTGGATAAGTCAATTGAAATTTCTTAAATTTTAAATTGTTCGTTTGAGTATGATAATTTGATTTTACCATGATAAAATTGATTTTAAAAATATATTTGTATGTTGAGATTTTTAAATAAAATTTTATAAAAATAAATATAGTCAATTTTTAAATATTTAATAATTTTAAATATTAATATTAAATAATATTTAATAATTTTAAAAATATTTTTAAATATTCAATAATTAAAAACATGAAGAGATAAGATAAAATATATAAGTGAAATAAGAAGGAAAAAAAATATGAAAAAAAAATATGAAGAATTTCAAATTCTTACTTTTTTGAGAGAATTTGAAATTCTACTATTTCAAGAAATTTCACAAATACTTAGATTTCAAATTCTTTGTAAATTATCCATCCAAAGATTCCAAACAAAGTATTTCACCTCAAAGAATTTGAAATTCTTCAAACAAATGAATTACTCTATTTAAATTCCTTATCTAAACACACCCTAAAAGTATTTTTTAAATACATAATAACAAAAATCTTTATTAAGTCTTTTAATTGCTTAAGAAAAATTAAAAAATTAAGAATTTTTAATATTTTTTCTCACTCTATTAGTAATTTCTTCACACTTTCTTTCGACAACTATTCACTTTATATTATTTATTATCTTTTTTTTTTATAAGATTTCAACAAATAAGTAATCTCTTCCCACTCTTTTATAATTATTTACTACCTACTTCATCAAATTTTTTTATCTTTTTAATTTTTTAAAAATAATTAAGAGAGAAAAGTGGTGTTTTCCCTAATTTTAATAAAGAGAAGAGAAAGAGAATCCTCACCGGTGTTCGGTATAATAGTATGTTTTGACTAAATCAAGGTAAACATTTGGGACAAAACTTGTATTATGGATGACATAATTGTTTAGAAATATATATCCTTATGTTTGAATCTCCGTTACCAAGTCTCTCAACGTATGTTGAATCTCAAAGTAACTTTATTAAGTCCCTTGAGTTCATGTTAACTATACAAATATTTCTTATTCGTGATTTAACTTTTAACACTGAAATATGGAATTTAAGTATAAGGGAAAAAAAGATAATTGAAGCTTACTAAAGAAAATTAATTAATATTATTTAATTTCATTAACCCCATTTGCAAAGTAACGTTTTTCTAAACTACCTTTCATTGAACCTTGATGTTAAATATAAAAAAAAAGGTCATTAGAAATTTAGAAATACAATAAGAATTAAATAAAATGATATTTTAAAAATAATATTATTAAATAGAATTAAATTAATTGAAATATATGTATATTTGAAAAAAAAATGATTTTTCCCTTGTATTTGAGATCGAATGTATATATATATATAAAATTAGTAATCATTATATTGAAATAATTTGTAAACGTATATCGTAAGAAAGTAAATATAATTAAGAAGATAAAGATGTTAAGAAGTTTACATGAGGTAGTGAAATCATGAAAAATAGGCTTGGAAATTCGAATCGAAGCAGTTTTGGTTGACGCACTTGTGATAAGTGATGGTCGTTGTTCCAACCGCACCTATGCTACAAACTCCTTGTTCTCATCACCAATGCAACAATCAACATTATTTGGATAAAATCCATTAATCCAATAGACGGTGCACTTTATTCTTACCCGGTATTTGATGCTATACCATGAAATAACACCTCTCTTTTCTTTTTTCCATTTTTTAAAAATAAAACCTTATTCTGCTAGCTCGTGGGACCCAACATGTCCTCCATCAGATCGAAAGGAATCGTTAAAGGCAGATGAATTTGTTTCATTAACGGTCATTATCTTTTTTCATTTCTGTATTTCTATCACATTATATAACTTTCTATATAAGTATATTTGTTTCTCTATTTTATTTATTTTTATAGGTGTCTACAAGAGTTTAAATTTCTACCCATCATTTTCAGAAAGGAATAATTTTGTTGTGAAAGATCAAATCATCGAGATGCTTATTTTGACAAGCATAATACTACAACTAGACGCCATTCACCAAGTAATGTAATGATTGCGAAGTAGGATCAGATGTGGTTCTTCTATTGTAATCAACCAAAAAAGTCCAAAACGCAATCACCCAAACAGTCAAAATTTCAAAATCGTTCTTTATTGCTAAGATAAGAGAGAAACAGACCTATAGGCCACGGATCAAATCTTAAGCCTGGTTAACGACGGAGTGATTCCAATATACCATAATAATAATTATACTAGAGGCATCGATTCATCAATCAAAAAAGTAAATATTGATTTAAAGGGAGATTAAGAATTTAAACCATGATTTAGCTTAGAAGATATTGTATTTTTAGTCCATATTATGGGACACAAGGATCTTGACAATATGGTATTGTCAAAAAATATCGACCGAATATAACCTATTGCAAGTAGTCTATTACTTAGGAGTAACGACCTGGACGATCATATCATTTATAACCTTGTGTGATTCTCTACAATTTAATTAATTCAGCAAATTTGGTTCCACAAGGTGGGAAGCTACAGTGCATTACGTGGGCCTATAATATATGGCCTTAGTCTTGGACTTGTACTCAGAAAACTACACAAGGCACCAACCAAGTTATCACTTAATTTCTTGATTCCTTTTCCTTGAGCAAGAAATGAAACCTCAAGCAAACCTTGCTAACATTGGATTTGAGTCCAATGGCCAGCAGAAGGGTTATTGGAACCTTTCTGAGCCACAAATTCTGTGTCAATACAAATTTTATCCAACCTATTTGACTGCTAAGGCCATCCAGATGAAAGTAGAGGATGTCAAATGCAACGAAGCTGCTTCGAGATTCATAGTTGAAAACAGAACAGAGTTGCAACAGAGAGGCTTGGTTGGATGATGTGATGATTTTTTACAGACAGAAATCTTCACAGTAGGGAGTAATAAGTAGTCTTTTTATTTTTCTTCTTCTTATTTTAATTTTACACATCATCTTTCATCTTCCTGCAAATGGTTAATACTCCTCTTGTACTTTATAAGTACATGTTAAATTGTATTAAAGTCACTACGCTTATGTTTTTCCTGCCAGTTATGTACAAATCAAAGTTAATACACTAGGCAGCTTTTCTATCATAATCTTACTGCCTGTAGTGTGATTATAATGTGGAAACAAATTTCATAGGCTATATCATGGGTTTGTTAAATTAAACTGAGACAATAAGAAAGTTACGAAACAGGATCAAAATTTATAGACTTCCTCGTCTATTAGCTGTGTGCTACGAATCTGTAATCATTATTATTAATTAGAGACCTATAGTCAATCTCTAATCATATTTTAATACCATAAAATAAGTTAATAGTAACCAAAAAAATTAGTGTCCAGAGTGTCTAATTAATCTTATTGAATTTTGGACTGAAAAGTTGGTCCTAAAATTGATCAATAGCAAGAGCAGGATCTGTCTCTAATTAAGTAAATGATTTTTTGTAGCCATATGCGACCGAAAACTTATCACTAATTACTCTCTCTAGCTATTTCTTTTTAATTGTTGGACTTTTAGTAAAATTTTAATTTTATTTAATTTTTATGTTCAAAGTTTTAAGATAATATAATTAATTCTTTGTCAATTTTACTTTTACATTTAACTAGTTTTTAAATAATTTATACATTGACAACTATCATGTATTTATTATTGAGTAAAAAGAAATATATAATAGAAAATCAAAATTATTTTATATATAAAAAAGAGAAAATATATTATATTTCTTGGCTTGTGTATAAAAATCTTAAATGACTGTTAAAAAGGAAAAATGATAGTTTATCTTAATTTTTAACCAACATAGATGAGTCATTGATTGATCTTCATTTAGGAATATGTGTGGTTATATTTTTTTTTCTGTCTCCAAAGCGGTCTCTAAATTGATTTCTATAGTGACAAAATATTTTCGTCCTCTAAGTCAAGCTCCATTTACTAAATTTTTTGTAGATGCAAAAAAATGTTATTTGCGTAATGTATTTGTTGCGTTTAATCATATTGTTTCGTCTAAATTACTTTAGATATTGATCTATGTAAACTAATCAGGGTGTTTTATTTGTCAAAAACACTATTTGACAATTAAAGAAAAAATATTTCTCTTAACAAAGTATTCTTTGATGACTTTAGGATATGTTTTTCCATATATAGCTTGAATGTTTTCTAATTGAAATTTTATCTCTTATTGAAATAATTACAATTAAAATTTATTAATTATACCAAATTTATATATGATAAATATAACTTTTAAAATAATTATCTCTAGATCAACAAAAAAGTTATTATACATGAGTTAGTGTATACACTATTGATTTACTCTTTATTATTTATTAACATATTTTAAATATTCTCATTCTCCAAAATTTAAATTTAAAAGAATGAATATAAGATTAAAATATATAAATGATGGGTGATTCTTTAGATTAATTTTTTCCTGCGGAATAAATAAATAATCAGATCACTTTTGAATACTATTATTAGTGTTAATTATTTAATGTTAAATATTACCTTTGATATCAATTGTAGTATAATTTTAGTATAGCATATAAAATATAGATAAAAGGTTGTACTATACCTTTAGAGAAAAACAGGTAAGAGGAATCCAAATAATAAATATGGTTTGGGAGTTCATTTGGCAGCTTGTGGACAGAGCATATATTTTTGAAGCAATTAATGAGAGGATAAAAGTTGTTTGTTTTTCTTTCTTGTCTTGACCGTGGCTGCTGTTAGGATGTGGCAGCTAGTAAATACACAGAAGCATATCACTAAATTTAGCCTAAACTAAATAAGCAGCAGCATCCTCCGTTGATTTAGATGAACCATTAATTTATTTTGCCAAGAAGCAAGTTATAAAATACAGAGACAGAGAAGGATTGATCATTTCCCCCTTAATTTCCTAGCCTCCCCACGGAGGCCCCTAAGCTCAATAAAATTGAAAAGTGAAAAAATAAATAAAATTCTTGGGCATTGAGGCGCAATGGCCTTTGCAAAGACTGTTTCCATTCTTATTTTGTTCTTTGCATTGGCCTGTAATGCGGATAAGTCTCTAAAACCTGAACCAGTTGCTGGTCCTGATATGTTCAAGAATAAAAATGTGGCTAAGGACGTCCTCCTTCCTGGGGAAAAAGTATTTAACGTCCAGGATTTTGGAGCCAAAGGTGATGGCAAGTTTGACTGCACCCAGGTAAATAAATTCAACTCACCACGTGCATATCCTCTTGTAATTTTCTATAAATGGATGTCACTGCTCTGAATAATTACTCTTGATTTGGTTCACGTTTTATATTATATTATACTATATCTTTTGCATGATTATAATATTAACATAAGCCTGCTGCTGGGTATATGATGATCCATGCAGGCTTTCATGGATGGATGGAGAAAGGTGTGCCATGAAACCACAGGGCCAGCGAGGCTTTTGGTTCCTCCTGGCAGATTCTTGGTTTCATCAATGTTTTTCAGCGGGCCATGCACTGCTGCAAGCCCAGTAACAATTCAAGTACAAGGGACTGTTCTGGCTACCGTTGATCTTTCGGAGTACGAAAACGGCGATTGGCTCATTTTCCAGAAGCTCGATGGCTTGAAAATTATTGGTGGGGGCATTTTCGATGGCCAGGGTAAATCCTCGTGGGAATACTCCGAGAATTGCGAATCAAGCGCTGATAGTACGTGCGCCAGAAATCCAAGCGTAAGTTAATTAATGTATCATATCATATGCATGCATCATGGTTCACTATTATTACTATATTTATTATATATGTCTGGTGGTGTTGTATGCAGAGCCTTTTTTTCAGCGATAGCAGCAACGTGGTTATACAGGGTATCAGATCAGTGAACCCCAAAGGCTTTCACATATTCGTTACTAAATGCACAAACGTGAGATTGAGAAAACTTAAGCTGCTTGCACCCGCAACAAGCCCCAACACTGATGGCATTCATGTCAGCCACTCTGATACAGTGATAATATCCAGAAATACCATTGCAACCGGGGATGATTGCATCTCTATGATCCAAGGAGTTAAAAATATTTTCATCAACAGACTCAGATGTGGCCCTGGACACGGTATTAGGTAATTAACTAATTCCATATCAATACACACATATATATAAAACTTGTGATATTCGTGATGAAGCCTTGATTAATCTTGTTCGTTGTTTGTTATATAAATATAGTATCGGAAGCCTTGGGAAGTATCCGAATGAGGTAGAGGTGAAAGGCGTTCGCATCCAGAACTGTTCATTGACCGACACGACCAATGGCCTTAGAATCAAATCATGGCCAGATAAATATCCTGGTGCAGCGTCTGATATAAGCTTCAGCAACATTATCATGCAAAATGTGAAAAACCCTATCATCATTGATCAAGAGTATGAATGTTATCCAGACTGCAAGAAGAAGGTAATGAATTATTAATTAGTTTGTTTTCCTTGGAACATATTATGCATGCATGCATGCATATATATATATACTTATTTGTGTACATGGTGCAGCCTTCACTTGTAAAGCTCCAGAATATTCATTTTCAAAATGTAAAGGGAACTACAACCACACCACTTGCAGTGGATTTAAGGTGCAGCAAGCTTTACCCGTGCCAAGGTATAACAGTTCGAGACATTGACCTGAAAGTTGGACTCGCCCCAACCATCTCACGCTGTGTCAATACAAAACCTCTCTTTGGAGGCTTGCTAATGCCCCCAGCATGCATATAGGATTAGGAGCCATTCCATGATCACATCCAATTTCTTACCAACTCCGATTAAGGTTTTAGAGCTAACATGGGACTTTTTATATATAGGAGTATTATGGGGAAAACAATATTTTTTATTTTTTATTTTTTGATGAATGTATTCATTCACAGTTAATTATTTAAATAAATCGAAATGTGCTTCAATGCCTAGTTTCCTTCTTGTCTGAATTTGTACTATATATTCCAAGTTTCAGACCAATTTTGGAAGAAAACTAATTATTCTTTTTTAGGTCATTAACTTAACTAAATATTAATTTGATTGAGTTTTACTCTGCCGAAAGACGGAAAATGAATGGAAAATAATTCAAATAAATAACCGTTTACCTACGATGCAAATGAAGAAATTAAAAAGGGTCACATTTTCCCTCTAATAGCTAATCAACTGCCTGTGCTGCCAAAGTCTTTTAAGATCAATTAACAAAGCATTCGCTGCTTTCTACCATTATTTAATTATATTTATTCTCGTTGGAAAATGAATACTAGAGATTTTCGATTGAAAAATTTTATCTTTATTTCTCGATTCTCAACTTCAAGCATCAAAATATTCTTACTGAAAAATAACTGTAAAAATGATTTTTTTTAATGAGAAGTGTACCAAAAGGGTCTTGGGATCAATAACATATCAGTCTCAACTACAAAGTGTTTGGAGATCTAATATATGTATTTGGCTTCTAACATTAGAACTACAAACATGTATTGTCAAGGATAACTCAACCAAAACTACATCCTCATCAAAATTATTACAAAGAAATTGAAATGTTTGGTAATTGTAAGATAATAAAAATTCTTAAATAAATTTAATGATTAGATCTCATTATAACAATTATTTATCTATAAATATAGATGCATCACAATGTAAATAACATATACAATACACTAAATCACTTCGAATATTTACTATCTAGACTTCTTGAAATTAAAGATTTCTTGTATTCATTTTTCTATAAGAATAAAAAGTTTATATTAGAATAATACATAATTACATCATTTAAACACAAATCTATATAAAAAGATATAAAAAATATAAAAAAAATTAAACTCCATCTTGAATCTTAGATAATAAAAAAAATGAAACCTGTGAACACACAATGATATATTAAACTTAAAAATAAAATAAAATTATGTAGGATGCTATTTTTTTCCCTTCCAAAGCTAATACATGCCTTTCCCTTTGTTTAAAAAAATGAACGTTAAATATTTTTTATTCTTTATAATTTCATTTATTTTCTCCTTTAGTTCTTATAATTTAAAATATTTTTTTTAAAATTTCTAGACCTATTTTTAATTTTTTTAAAAAAATTTATAGTTTAAGATTGATGTTTTTAATTTTATAATTGTAGTTTAATTTTTAATATTTTAGTTTCTAATATTAACTTTTTTATAATGTTGTTTATTTTGTGTTAATATAGTAGGAAAAAATTGTAAATATAAAGATTAAAAAAATCATTTTGAATTATAAAGAGAAAAATATAAAATAATAAAATTATAAGGAATGAAAATTGTTTTAAAAATTCATAAATAAAGGCGTCTCCCGTACATAGGCGAGTGCAGAGTGAAGAGTAGCGATGAGAGGTTGGAAATGGCTTACTCAAACGGGCGGCGCACCTTAGCATATAGCCTGGCACGAGCACTTTGTTTGTCATCCAGAAACGCTGCTTGTCCCTCTCGTTGTCGCTTCGCATTCGCGTTGCTCCCCACCAAACAAAGCACACTCCTCCCTCGCTTTCCGGTTCGGACCAAATCATCCGGTTCGGGTTACTCTCCCCTCAACGACCCCTCCCCCAATTGGAGCAACCGTCCCCCCAAGGAGACCATTCTTCTCGATGGCTGCGATTACGAACACTGGCTCATCGTCATGGAGTTCCCCGATAACCCTAAACCCTCCGACGACCATATGGTCAACACTTATGTCAAAACCCTAGCACAAGTTCTCGGAAGGTCCTTTTCCTTCTTCTAATTAATTATTTACCGCACTTCTTTCTCTTCTCTAATTTCTTCTGCTTGCAGTGAGGAGGAGGCCAAGAAGAAGATATACTCTGTTTCCACTTCTACATATATAGGTTTCGGCGCCCTCATTTCCGAAGAGCTTTCTTATAAGCTCAAAGGTAATGCTACTATCAATTTCATTGCAACTCTCATTCTTTTATACATATAAATGGAGCTTAATTTTATTTTATGGAATACTTCCTTTGTTTTATCTCAAATATGTTTGTCTTTGTTGTGACTTTCTCCATGTGTTTGACCGACTCTTGTTGCCATTTTTTCATGCTTGAATAGAGTTACCTGGGGTTCTTTGGGTGCTCCCAGATTCATATCTTGATGTTCCCAACAAGGATTATGGAGGTCAGTGGAGTGGAGGGTCTGAATTTAGCGAGAGCTTTAGTTATTTGTTGGATTGTTCTTTTGTTTTTGGTTGTGTTGATTGTTTGTGTGGAATTTCAGGTGATTTATTTGTTGATGGGAAGGTAATTCCTAGGCCACAGTATAGATATTCGGAGAGACAACCCAGTAGGAGTAGACCTCGGCCACGCCATGACCGGCGACGAGAAACAATGCAGGTTGAAAGGAGAGATCAACAGAACTGGAGCCAAGGTCAGGGGGGCAATATGCAGCCATCAACTGCAATGAATAGCCAAAACTTGGCTTCCAATAGAGAGAATTAAGAAATGTTCAATAAGAACTCCGCTTTAAAAGTTATCACATATAGATAACAGATCCATGTTTTCCTGATTTAAGGTTCTGAGGTCATCTTTTACTCTTTTTTTTCTTGTATGGAAATTGCTTGTGCCTGCCCTTGAAGGACATTTGATAATTCTGCGGATGGGAATGATTTTCATTTTAGGCTTTTCCCTATATGATTTATTAAGCAATTTGGATCACTGACTTTTAAAATTAATAGACTTGAAACATTTTGTTTCTGCATCTGAACCTGTCCTCGATGTCAATGTCGTGTGTTATTCGATTGAATCTGTGTAACGTGTATCATAAAACCTTGAAATTTTAAGGTACTCATTCATTTTTTTTAATAATTTGTTTAAAGCTGCCACTCAATGGATATCTTGCTTGCATTTATTTTGGTTATTTGACTGATTTTGCCTTCTACTAATATGCTTAATGCATTTGTTTAGCCCATTTCTAATAGGAGTTCTTAACCGTGTTTTTAAATATAAGAACCGGTTCTTTTAAATTTTACTATTGGAGTAGTCTAATGTGTTATCTACAGTTTAAGAACCGTTCTTGTATATAATTTCACAGTAGATAGTTGCCACCGCCACATGTTGAGTACTTTTTATATCTACCAAAGAGGTAACTTGTATTGGATATTTTTTGCCTAATTGTTTGTTCATTTTACATTGGTGGGGCAGGATGCCTTGTGTTGGGTTCAACACTGTTGGTAAGATAGACTGATGCATGCTTATTTTCTTGTCTAATTATTTATTGGCAATATTTAGTTAAAGTTCTGCTATATCTTCCTTCTCTCAAAAGCTAGTGCCAAATCTAATTAATTGCTCCAAAACTCCGAAAAAAAGTTAATTGCTTCAAATTTTGATTGCTAGTGTGGGTAATGATTTCAAGACATTTTTTTTAATCTAAATTCCTGGCACTGACTCTCCATCTGCTTCTATTTGGATTACGGGTGGCAAAGTGGGTCGTCCCAGCAAGTGAAAGGTGAATTAGAAAAAAGAGAAAATATCAACATTAATTCAATTGGTTTAAATATAAATGCAATTCGGCATTTGAAGAAATTATAGAATATATTAGTTTTTCCTCTCGTTTGGGATGCATGCAAAGAAAAGTTGTGTCCACCCCATTGCGGGGTGAATTGAGATGGAGGGGAGGAGATAGAGAAAGAAAAAAAAATATGAAAATAGAAAATGTAGAGAGAAGAAAAACAAGTATGAAAATAAATTATAAAAAAGTTAGAAGTATGATAATAATTATTTGCGCATAAAGATATAGAGTCCGTACACCATATTAAAGGAGAATACAGAGAAATACATTGTGAAGTACTAAAGTCGAAACCGAAATCCTTTGTGACGTTACTTCATATATACTAAATATATTCATTACATTCGAGAGTATATTTATTGTATTACTTTCATTTATGATCATATAAATATTAGTATTTTATTTTAAAAATGTATAAAAATGATACTTTTATAATTGAAAATAGAAAACAAAATATTTTCACACTAAAACAAGTTGATTAGCCATTAGGTTGGGCTTGGACAATATATATGCTCGCCCGGCTGGTCTGTATTTTATTTCCACTATGGACTCTTACTCAACACCAAGTGTCCTTGACAGCTTACGCTTCCTTGTGACCCCCACCCACCACCTTCATCGAATTGACTATTTTGGTGTAACTTTATTATGATTTTGCATAACGGGTCTCTCTTAATATTTAAAATCAGTATAGTCCGTTGATTTAACAACCCACCCAGGCACATTTTTACGCCTTTACCGCATACCAGAACCAGACCACGATTCCAATCTTTTTTTTTTTCTTCCTTTAACGCTTGTAATAGATATCACCTGAGACACGAACCAACGAACCATCAAGCTTCGCCTCCAAAGATCTTGTATTTTGTATTTTCTTTCCATCAGGTCCATTCAGAAATGAATTCCAACAACTTCAATTTCGATTTCGATCTCGGCATCGGATCCAACCGCCCCAAATCCCTAAACGATCAGAAAAACCCCAAACCTTCCTATTCCACCTATTCCACCACCACCACCTCCTCCTCCTCCTATTCCTCAGCGCAACCCAGGAAACAGCCCTCATGGACCCACCAACCCCTCCCCACTCAGACCACCGCGCTCCCGGGTGGCTCCCCCTCCATGGTCGGAGACATCTTCGGCAAGAGTTGGGGAACCACTCAACCACCTTCTTCGGCTTCCACCATTGGGATCGTTAATAAGAACCCAAACCTCTTCGGAGATTTGGTAAGCTCTGCTTTGGGCCAGGGTTCTAAGACCTCTTCCACCAACGTTCCTCTCAAAAATGCTACTTCCAAGGTCTCATCAGCTCCCACCTCCAATAAAACCTCCTTTTCCATGGGAAACATGGCTGATTCTTTGCCCAAAACTGCTTCCACGCCACAAACCACCGCTAGTTGGGCATCTTCTGGGACTTTTAGTATGAACAATACCAATAAAACCCCCAATCTAGGGGGTCCTTCATTGCGTAGTACTGCAACAGGAACCAGTTCTGTTAACAACGATCCTTTTAGCTCATTGTCTGGTATTGGATCCAACCAATCTGCTTCTCTTAATTCATCTGCTAAGGGGCAAAAGGCTGCTTTAGGGGATGATGGTTTTGGAGATTTTAAAAGTGCTTCCACCGCGTTTCCATCAACTGCTTCCCCCGGAATTGATTTCAATTTTACTGGATCTGCTGCTTCCAATCAGACTCCTCCTGTTCAGGCATCAGGTGGTGGTGATCCAACGGACATGTTTTTCGCGCCGGCTTCGTCGGCCTCGGGTGGTGGTGGTGGTGGTGCTGCTGCTGCTGCGCCCTCTGATGGATTTGGAGGACAGGATGATTGGGGGTTGGATTCTGAGTTTGGTGGGGGAGGGCATGATGTGGGTGGTGCCACTACTGAGCTTGATGGGCTGCCTCCTCCTCCTGCTGGGGTATCAGGCTCCACTGCCAAAGGCAAGGGGATGGACAATTACAAGCAGGGACAGTTTGCTGATGCTATTAAGTGGTTTTCATGGGCCGTCATCCTTCTAGAGAAAGCTGGGGATAGTGCAGCCACATTCGAGGTTTTGTCGTGCCGGGCTTCGTGTTACAAGGAAGTTGGGGAGTATAAAAAGGCAGTGGCAGATTGTACAAAGGTATCACAGGGTTTTTTCTTCTTCTTTTTTTCTGTTGTTATATCACTACATGTCTGCTGTGTTATTAAGATAATTGATGGATGGTTTATAAGAGCTGTCTGTGTGGAAACAAAAAAAAAAAAAAAAAAAAAAAAAAAAAAAAAAAAAAGGGCTAGCTGCAATGTGTTATACTATTGATGAATTAATTAGCTAAAAAGCTGGAGATGAAAGAGAGAGGAGATAAAATGTAATTAAAACAAGGTTAATATTGCTAGAAAATATTAGATTCTGCGGTAAATGTAAGGTGTGATAGCACATAGAGTAAATTACATCGATGTCTCTTAAAGTTTCGTGAGTTTGCATATGAATCCCCTGTTTTTTCTACTCTTCTACTAATTTCCCTTAATTGTTTGAAAAACATGACACTAACAACCCCTTAAATATTACACCTTGTTCTTATAGGGGTTGTTTGTGTAAACGTTAGAAAAAAGGAAAAATTGTGTGCAGTTTTACAAAATCTAAAGGAGTGCTAGTGTAATTTTCTAATAATACGCATTAAGAGCAAGGAGATAAAAAGAAGCTTCTTATTGTCTTTTTTGGGTCTTGGCTTGCAACCCATACAACACCTACTTACGTTGAACCCTTGGAAAAGTTTAAGGGCTGTAACATACTTGAATCATAAATGCGTAGTGCCTTATTATAAGAAGTAAGTCGTAATTAGAACAGGGCCTTAGTTTTAGGAACTAATGCTTGGATTTATGGAATTAAAACTTGCATCGTGACTGTAGAAATTTCAGAATTAATTTATAACTTATTAGATTCATCAAATTTCAATGATGCGACCATTGTCAATGTACCAGACTCCTCTGTGTTCGGAGATGCTAGATACATAAAAAATATGCAACATTGCGCCTTCCATGTTTTCTAAAACAAGCTTCATTCTTCTCCTTCATTGGATAGTATCACCTTGTGATCTGAGTTCTGCATTTGGTACATTGTGTAGACCAGCGCTGGTTGCTATCATGATTGTTTTTCTTGCAAATAGAGCATCGAGGAGTGGCCCTCCTGTCATTATTTATTGTGTTTTCTTGGTGTGACCTTCCTCCCTCATTCTCTTTCCTCCTTTTCTTTGTGGTTGATTGTTGTTCTACTGTTTTTCCTTCATTGGATATTATCTTTTTTCTCTGCATCTTTCTTTTCAGAAAAAAAATAGGTTTGATTGTAAAGCTTGCACCAACCACTGGTGTAATTTGTCAATTCTTTTCTTCATGTTTGCTTCGAGAGAGTATATGTAGAAAAAATATTGGATTTTTCTTGGGTAGCAACAATATAATCAAATTTTGTGACAAGCTACTAAAATCTTTCTCAACAATCAGCTTTTCTTGAATAGTATCTCTCCATAAATTCTGATTTGATTAACAATCTCAGCTGCTTTAGAGAAGATGATATCACGTACCTTTTGTTCCTTCTACTTTCTGTCATGGACAGCTACTCAAGCTTCCCTTCAAAGCTTTTACGTATTGATAGTAATGGCACTGTTTGTGCCCTTATACTTATTTTGTTGAATATCCTAAGTTTCTTTTTCATTTCCAATAGTGCCGAGAATTATTGGACGAATGCATTTGCTCAACCTGGTTGTATATAAGGGAGAGCATTTGCATCTCTCTTCAGAGTTTCTTTATACTGCTTCGGTTTATTTCCTCGCGAAGCCACTAGTAGTTGTTCTTGATATTCTTCTGCATCATTCAAAGACTTTGGGAAATACGAAAGTTTATGTTTGGCACTAGTTGCACCTGTAGATCATTGCCTGGTCCTTTTTATATCTTAGTTAAGACCCTATGTAGCGTGTGTATTCAGTTCAGTAATTGAAGTTTAAAAGGTTCGGATGGATGGTTTGACTTGTCCATGAGTTCCACTACATATTTAGGTTAACTTTTATGACGATCTGAATTCTGAACCATATTTTCTTGATCACCATATAATAATAAGGAAGAATGTTCTGATCAGAATTTGTTGTGCAGGTTCTTGAAAATGATGAAACCAATGTGTCTGTCCTGGTACAGCGTGCTCTCTTGTACGAGAGTATGGAAAAGTACAGACTTGGTGCTGAAGACCTCAGAACTGTGCTGAAGATTGATCCTGGTAATAGGATTGCTAGAAGCACTGTTCACCGGCTGGCCAAGATGGCTGAATAGGAATTCTTTTGTCATTGTCTTTTTCCTTCAATTATTATGCTATATAGGTTTTTACATCACTTACAGCCCCCATTTCCTTTGCCGTGATAGTTAGGGGGTCATACGTATGGACTGCTTTTCATTGCTGTCATCCTTCATATGATATGTGATCAGTGATGTATGGTTTATTTCATTCTGGTTATGTCCTCAAATTAATTTTCTCGTTTCCTTCGACCCACATTTGAACTTAATAGAATTGCCATATTCTTTTTCTATTATGTTCTCTCGTGTTTGGATTGTTTGCATATTGAGAAAAACATTTGTTATTTCTTAAAATTATAAATAGAATGTATTCCTGTTACTCTATTGAAAGAAACTGTGGTTTACAGAATTTTGGTTACCAGGATCCCCGGACGATTTTGTTTGTATGTCACTCGTTATAAAGAGAATGTATGGATTCAGTTTTCACTTCTTTCATGGTCTTCGCTCCAAAGTATCTTGATGTCACTCGTTAATATTTTATGCCAGTTGTTTCACTAGGATTGCCTGCGGTCGAGATGTAACAGTTTAATCTCTCTCCCTTTTTTTTAATGTATGTTGTATTTAATTTACAAAAATCAAAATCAATGTTTTAAGAAAATTGTGTAGAATTTGAATTATTTATAATGATTAAATGAGCTTTATGCTCGTACATACTTCACATAAGTTGTAAGAACGCAAGTAATTTTTACCTAATAATTCAAAATCTGTACATAATTCATATAGTTGGAGCCATTATATTTTCCTGTCTACAGTGACATCTTTCTTGTGCGGTTATAATATTATCATATCATATCTATCATCATATCATAGCAAATACAATTCCAAAGCCCGATCGATGGCTCTGTTTGTTTAGATGTCAACAGAGTTTACACGTGTCTAGATAAAAAATCACCTCTGAGAAGTTAGTTTTTAAAAGTCAAATGTTTTTAATTCGTAGTAACTCCGTTTAGATGCCATCACAGCTGATCGGCCCAAAATTAATAGGACGACCCAGTTCGGCTCATACGGGCCAATTTATTTGATCTTTCCAGGCTAATCCTCTTTACATATGGACTGATATTTTTACGACTAGCCTGACAATGTATCGGGCCACTGAGTCTAAATTAAAATTTATGTTTATACGTCAAAACTTTAGAAAAATGAGTGATCATAATAGAAAAAAGAAGAAGAAAAAAGCAGACTTGTTCATTGTTTAAAAATGAAACAAACCTGTATAATTGTCATAAAAAAAATGCGAAAATCAAACTTTAACAAGGGAACAACTCCTGTAAAAAAAATAAAATACACGACACCACAATTAACATAGAAAAAAAACTGTGGAACTGACATATTGAAACAACACCTTATCATGATTCATGAAAGATCGGTTGATTTATTAAAACACATTTGAGTAAAGTTGAAATGAAATATAAATTTTATGTTAAATAAAAAGTTAAAATTATATTTTACTGTATATTTAAGTTTGAAATATTTTTTTTTAAATATAAATAACATCAAATAAATAAGTAAATAGTCACTCAAACAGCTTATATATAAACACATGATAGAGAAGTATAAGATGAAAAAAATAAAAGTGAATTAAATGCTGAAGTAGACTTTTGTTTTTTATTTCAAAGAAGCATCATATAGACATAACATAAATATATAAGTTTACTAGACTTACAGAAATAAGCTATGAGATAATATGAAAGAGCACGTCAGGACAACGAAGAAATAAACTAGAAATTTCAGACAAGTATCATGATTCATGAACACATTATAATTATCATATATTATTTATTTTTATTAAATATTTATATATTAAAAGTTTCACTTTTATTTTAGTCATATTTTTCAAGTTTAATCTGATCTTATTTACGAGTTCTCTAGACTATAATCCAACAAGTTGGATATAATTTAACTAACATATAAATTACCGCAACATAAATAATGGTCTTATGAATACTTGAAAGAACTATAAATTATTACTTGAATTTAATTATTTTTAAATAAATTCTCAAATTTAAGTATCGTGATTATTGAAAAAATATATATTATAGATTATATTAGTTAAATTCTAATACATATTAGTTATTATAAAATTGATAAATATTTTATACCAGTTACATAATTATAACAAAAAAATATACTTAAAATTTCTTTAACTATATTATTTTTCTCGTGTATAATTGTCACCTTGAAAAGTATATGTGGTCTTAAAAAAAGAAATATATTTAGAAAAATACTTTGCTAGTTTATGTATTGAAAATTATATCTGTACAATTATATATACTCTAAAAAAAAGTATGTTATGAAATATATAAATAAAGAAAAATAGTATGTAAATAATAAGACATATATTTATTTTAATACATTGGATTGTGGAAAAAAAATGTTATTCCTGTTTGGTCCACTTGCGTGCAGTGAGAGGTGTTCTTGCAGTTGCCGACTTGTATAAATTCATATCCTTTCTCACTCATATCATATTCATTTCCATCAGCGTGCCCATTTCAACTCTCTCTTTGAAAAATCAAAATGTGTGGTGGTGCCATCATTTCTGATTTCATAGACGTCAACTTGAAGACTGGTCGGAAATTCACCACCCACGACCTCTGCTCTGAGCTCGACACTTTCTCTCACTTCCTACCTTTCAACGCCACCTCCTCCTCTTCTTCTTCTTCTTCCCTTCATCATCATCACTCTCAGGATCCAAACCCCACTCCTCTTCCAAATAACAAAGGTATATCCGTTTCTCTTATATTCCAACTCTATTTATGTTTCTTCATGATTCATACCACGATAAACTTTCTTGTCCAATTTTTATTTTTAATTTATAAATCACATGTAACTTTTACGGGAGGCGATCCTGTGTAAATTTTAATTTTTAACTTTTTTTTTATATTATGAAATGGCAAAAATCTCTTGTTTGTTTTTTCTTTTTTTACCGGAGAACATCACTATCTCAGGCAAATAAATTGTTATATATTAAATAATTACTTCTTAACTGGAGGGAATTTCGGTTCCTGTCTCATGGAGTGATATATATGCATCTGGTTATGTCGATCTGTTTGTATTATTTCTGATTTATTTTTATTTTAATCCTTTTGGGCTTTGGTGGGAGTTAGAATGTTAGATATACATCACACGTAGGCTGAATTTGAAGTAAAATCGTGGAGGAGTGAAGTTGAAGCCTCTCTTTGGATTATTTGACGTTTGCAAGACACGGATGGTTCTTTTTATTCACGTTTTTCCTATTCATTGAAAAGACAAGGAAAAAAGGACCAACTTGATCACTTTTTTGTGTATTATCAAGCAAAAAGAAAAAGAAGAAAAAAAAAAACTACCGCTGTCATAAATACTCTTCGGTGCATAACATTAACCATCCTCGATAATATCAAAAAATTTAATTATGTGATCCCACCACCCCACTAAAAAAAAAAAAAGTAAAGGAAAACAACGCCAGGTCGTGTGTAGTTGTGTAAAAAATTAAAAGTGAAAAAAAAACAATTTAAATATCAGAAAATAATTCTTTAATTTAGCTTGTATAGAAATAAAGTGATATATTTATGTTTGGGAATGATTTGCGATAACAATTTTCAGTCTTTAATTTAATTTTAAAACAAAAAAAATATAGTATGGAGTAATTTATATAATAAAAGGATTTATGTATTTAAATTTTGATGTAGTGGAGAGATGCAAGGGTAAGGGGCGGAAGAAGGTGTACAGAGGAATAAGGCAGAGGGCATGGGGGAAGTGGGCTGCGGAGATAAGGGACCCACGTAAGGGTGTGAGAGTGTGGCTGGGGAGTGGGGACTTTCAGCACCGCCGTAGAAGCCGCTCGCGCTTACGACGCCGCCGCCAAGCGCATCCGCGGAGACAAGGCTAAGCTCAACTTTCCGGGCACTTATAAGAAGGATCCTGATCCTGACCTCATGCACCAAATCTCCGACCTCGAATCCTTCCTTGGTTTGGAACATCCATGACGTCGTTATGCCCAACCGCCACCTCTTCTGACTTCTCACTGCTTATATTATGTTTATGTCTTTCCATAAGGAATGAGGATTTCAATAAGAATACATGAAACGTACGCAGCTACTTGGGTTTAACGCTCACAAATTTAAATGCTCGTGTTCTGTTTTATTTTCTCCATCCATGCACGTTACATTTCTTCAAAACACCAAAAGCTGAGAGCTTTTAAGCTTCTCTTTTATTGATATATTTTTCTATTTTTAATTATATAAAACTAGAAAATTAAAATAGTTGTTTTGATTTTTTCTATGCACAAATATTTTAATATATATATATATATATATAATCATTCTTTATTGTATTTTGTTTCTATAGTAGATATCATACTTAGTAGATAATATTATTTGAGATACAGCTAGACATTAAATATGAATATGTATTCTGATGGGAAACTAATTCCAGTTCAATCTTATTGGTTTCATAATTTTTCTTTCTTCTTCAAAACCAACAATCTAATATATAATCCAGTGGATCACTTAAACTTATTAATTACATTATATCATTATTATTGATAATTATTTAATAATAATAAATTAATTATCTTTATTTGATTATTTAATAAAAATATTAATGACTAATATATAATGATCATCAAAAATATATTTGTATTACATCAAAATAACTATTAGTGATAATTATTTATTAGAACAAAATTTTAATCTTACATCGACTAAAGATGAGATAATTAAAGAGTATATAAGTAAATGATAATTCTTACTTACAAATTTATTTTGTAGGATTAAATTATACCTATAACTTACTATTCTAATATGGTATCAAATTACTCATCATTACCAAACTCAATAGCTCTAAATTTGAAGAGTGTATTAAAAAAAATACTGTACCATCTAGGTAAAAATCCGACTAAGTGTACCGTCTAGGTAAAAACCCGACTAGGGGACCGTCTAGGTCAAAATCCGACTAAGTGTACCGTCTAGGTAAAAATCCGACTAGTGTACCGTCTAGGTAAAAATCCGACTGATCTCTACTCGGTCATAATCCGACCTGTCTGCTCTGCAGGGGTAACTCGGCCAAAATCCGGTCTAACTCTCCCACATAGATACTGTTCCGATATCAGGGATAAGATCCCATCTTTAATGACAAGATATTCTCCAAATATTAACGGTTAAGGAAATCTCTTGATCCTCGGGGCCCAAGTGGCCCATGAACGACATACCATAAAACCCAAAACCCTAGAGTTGAGTAGGCAGATTACACTTTTGAATGCTTTGGCTTCGCGGCTTGACCTAGAGGAAACCCTAGTTCGTCCCGTGGCCGGAACAAATACAAATCTTATATTGACCATAAATAAAATAATTAAAAAAAATTAAAAAAAAATTTGTACTCATCTTATAAGTCTCGTATTATTATAAAAGTGTTTTAATGATTATTAGTAATTTTTATTGTCACTAAGAACTTATTTTATTATATATATATATATATATATATATATATATATATATATATAAACATAATGCATGATTGTAGAATAACACGATTTCGTATAGATGGTAAGGTATTAACTTAATGATTTTATCCGTCATCCATGGACATCTTCAAAGGCCAACTTTAAATAATTATAAGGCCTGCCTAGAATATATATTTAGACACCTTTAAATATGAATGAAACTGTTGCAAGTCAATTCATAATTGGTGACACACTAGCCAGTATATGACGTATATAGAGCACAAATGATAAATTAAATTTGAACTGAAAAAGGAAGATTAGAACTTAGAAGGTGCATGAACCAACCCTCAGTTTCGTACAGCGGGGCCCAAATATCTAGTGCATTAGATCTTAATTAAAGTGACACTACAACATCTTAATAATTATTTATTTCCTATTCTTCGATCTTTATTCAAACAAAGTGTAACTACCAAAAAGAAAAATATTCAAACTAACTTTATTACCTTGGCGTTTATTTTGAATTATCTTTCTTCATTTTTTAAAATATGAAATGTAAATATATTTATTTTTATGTTTATTAATAGGTTATGCAATAACATTCTTAAGTATTTTTTATTTTTGAAAAAGTGATATTTTAATGAGATGAGTAGAAGAGTTTCATTCCCCGGATGAGTACGTGATATTTTTATGAGAATATTGAAAGTTATTTTTTATAACCCTTATAATTTTTATTTTTATTTTAATTATTTTAATTTTTAAAAACATTTCAAAAAATGTTAAAATGAACCAAATATCTTTTCTTATTTTTATTGACATAATATTCCAGATTATATTACTTCTAAGAATATGATTTCTAAAAAATATAATATCATTCATTTTTTTTTTAAACAAACACCTCCTAGATGAAGTGAAATAGTAAAAAGAAAATATTATAATTTTTTTTGCAAAAAATTTATATTAAAACAAAGTACGACTTCATATAAGAGTAGAATCAATCAATAATCTCTTCAAAAAATTTATTTCATAAGAAAACATTAATGTAATTAACATGTGAGCTACACATAAAACGACAAATAACTAATTTGGGTTTCTTGTACAATTATTTTAATATTTTTTTTAGTAAGATGATATCGATCAATTATATTAATATGTTTGATTGGATGATAAAGATTGTTTTTTAATTTACTCTTTTTTTTTTATTTGTTTTTTTAACTTTGACAAATAAAAAAAAATTTAACTTGTGTTTTCTGTTTAAAAAAATGATCACACGAAAATATTCTGTTGTGATATATATATATATATATATATATATATATATATATATATTATTATATATATATATATATATATATATATATATTAAAATAGAACTTTCGTCATCGTGAGAAATAAAAATTATTAATGTAAATTATTAAATCACATTTGAATGGTACACGATTGAAAAATAAATGCACATATATTTTGAGTAATTATGTGATTATTATCTAACTTTCTAATCTTAATCGTTCATACATGAGTGTGTGATCCACATTTTGTAGTTATCATTTCTTTCGATAAATAAAAGATCCCATGTAATATGTTGCTTAAATCATACATACGAGGAAAAAATCAAATTGCACTCTTGTAAGTGTTACACCAACTATTAAATTCAATAACTTTTATTGAATATTTTTATCTCAAAATTTATGTTGGATTTTTTTTTTTTATATCAATAGTAGTATATTATATCTACAAATATTATATATGCTAATATAAAATTGTTTAATACTCTGTTGATGTACACCAATTTGCAAAGTTAATTTAGTATATTTTAAAATATAAAAACTCTTCAATTATATACTTGTTCCTTTTTATAATAGTTTATATAACTTGTACTAATGTAGTTTTTCTCTCATCTCTTTCTATTGGTCGAATCATAACTATACATTATCTTGATTGTTTATATAATTTTTTTCAAAATTAAACAATCATAAGTATAACAATGAAAAAGTACTGCTATTAAATGATTTTAGATTGACATTAAATTTTACAAATATGATTTATATGATAAAAAAACTCAATCCAACAATAAATTATAAGATAAAAGTATCTGATGAAAAGTTATTAAATAATATAAGCGTTGATGTGAGTGCAAGTTGATTTGTGTGAGTGTATATATGTATAAGACATGATCAATTGAGATTTCGTATAAAAAAATATTTACATTCACTTAATTTTTTTTAGAATATAAATTAATTAATTCAATTGTTAAATAATATAATGTTATATTTTATATATATATAGGGAGAGAGGAAAGATATAATAATACTGATATAATTTTTACTAAGTATTATACTGCTCAATAACTTTATATTAAATGTGAATTTTTTAAATCCAGCGTTAGATTAAAAATTTATATCCTTTTATATATTTATCAAATTTTCAAAAACTTGAAAATAATCAAAATATTTATATTTTAGTATATTTTAAAATATATATATTACAACAATTTTATTTTATTAAAAAAGTATTAAATCATTTTAAATTAATAGAAAATTTTGTATATATGATATAAGAGTAAAGAACTTTTAATCTAATGATTAGATTTATAAAATTCACATTTAATATAAAATTATTGAATAATGTTATACTCAGTAAAAGTTATTGTTATTATAATCCTCTTTATTTATATATATATATATATATATATGGTCTTATAATTATATGCAAAACACACTATTAATTTGATCTCTCGAATATTTTTTTTATTAATAAAAATTACAGTGACAATAACAAAAATATATATATATATATAATTTCAAATAAATTAAACACTTGTTAGAAATATGTTATCTAGCTGTGGACATTTATTTATATTGTAAAATTTATTTATCCATCAAAATATATAGTGTGGTGAAATATGAATTAGTTATTGTTTTGCATGAAATGTTATAAATCTAATATACTTTGTAAGAACTTAATTTCAATCAATCAATTAAATTATTTTTATTTTATTTTATAAATGCATATTAAATTATTAAAATAATATTTAATCACATATTTTAGACTGTAAATTAATATTTAATTATATCAATTTTGAGATATTGTGTATTTCATGTTTATGAAAAAAAAAAATTATAGCTACAAATCTTTAACACTTACTATCAATTATTAAATGTGATTACTGAAAGTAGAGTATCTTAATTACGAACAATATCTAGACAAGAGTATAATCCAACTGATGAGAGAATGAATTATTCCTTCTTTAATTATGTGAGTGAGTATAATCTAGAAAAATAAAATGGTTTATAAAATAACAATATATTAATTTATGCTTCAGGTTCATGTACATCTAAGAAAAAATATTCAGGTTCATTTAACTTGGCTTATTTTAGAGGACAAAAACTTCACATACATATTTTTGTTCACAAAGGACAAAATCTTCAAATTTAGCAGTTAACTTAGTCATATTTAATTAGAATTTTGGTTCCTTTTAGTGGACATAATGTCAACTGGGAATATAATCGATTTTTTA